TCCCACCCCCCTTGGATTCACACGTTTCCATGGTGCTGCTGCTGCGTCTGCTCCACAGAGAGGCATTATGCTGTGCGAAAATTTCAAGGCACCACTGAGAAAGCCAGAAGGCACCCTGGTTGACACTAGCATGTCTACAGTCTCTGACAGCTTTCTGTAGTGTTATATTCATTGAAAATGATGCGCTGCCCTTTGGTGATGTCAACGGCTCCACTTGAGGACCCCTATATAAAGTAGGCTAACCACTACTGGCTTAACGGAGCCAAATGCCCTCTACTAGACCAGTAAAAAGCACAGCAGTGCATCCTTGAAACAGGCTGGAACAGCAAAATGCAGGCTGGAATAATTGGTTCCATAATATTGGTCTGCATCTCCACTATTTATCGAGCATTTGTTCTAGATGTACAATTGGCAGAAGGACATAAAGGAAGGAGTTCCTGACACCCACTACCCCTAAAATAGGAATTCACCCCTTGTTTTTTGGACCTGTGATGGAAGTAATTATATGAATTACACTGTTTTTGAGCAGTAGGAATAGCCAGTGTGCGTATATGGTGGAAGCCAATATTTTGTTTTATCAATATCTGCCATGCAGTATGTCTGCTTCATCCCAGAGTTATTAGTCCCATTTTCCACTTCTAGGCTGAAGGTATGCCAGAGCCCATTGTCCTTCCGCATATCTTTTAGGATTGCATTGTATTTTTATTTTACCCTTCTTCATAAATAAATGTCCTACTGCCTGATATTAACATAACCTGCATAAGTGAGAAGCTGATATAATGTTCCATACTGATCAAACAGCAGAGAATAACCAAAAGGAAAGCACACTATGGCTTTACATAAGTAGCCATAATGGTTCAAAGAGAAATCTTTTCCTGACACAGTCTCTAAGTATCCTGTTGATCTGATACATTTCCCTGATTCCATGCAGTTTCAGTATGACAATGGCTACAAACGCTTTACAGGGAATATCCTTGTATTGTCAAATGTCTGTTTCCCGGATGTAGTAATCCCTTGGTACAGTGTGGTTTTTGTTTAAGTGCAAATGTTCCCCTAGTCTTCCTTCAACGAAAGTTGTTTTTATTGGGGGAGTTGTCAGTTGCAGCTTTCCACAATTACAGTAAATTAATTATCTCTGTGTGAGAAATCTCGTGGTTCACATTCACCTGGAACTCAGTCAACAATTCCCTGTACCACTTAATACCATAATGCAAATATAAACCTTGACCCCAGTACTGTTTCTCACATTAATTGAGATTAGTGCATGCTCATTGTAAATGTAATATGCAACAAAATGGTGGATTTAAAAGGTTTAACCAATGTCAATGTCATATATTAAGGTGGCTGACTGTGGATACTGATGCCCAGGGATTGTCAATGTCATATATAAAGGTGCCTATGGAGTCTGAGATTCAGCAGCTCAGTGATTCTTAATGTTGTATATAAAAGTGTCTATGAAGCCTAAGTCTGTGCTTCAGCAGACCATTCTCAATGTCATATCTAAAGGTGTCTATTGAGTCTGAGTCTGTGATTTAGCAGGCCAGGAATTCTCAATGCCATATACAGTATAAAGGTGTTGTGTAACGGTATCAGCCAAATGATCAAATCAGTGGTGATGTGCAATTTTCTACTGCTCGCGGTATACTGAGACGCTGCAGCTGAAGCGGATCCCGACAATTGTGCCGGGAACCGCCCAGCTGCTTGACTGACAGCTGGCTCTGCCTATCTAAAGGCAAAGCCAGCTGTACCCGCCCCCTCCCCCGTCTGTTCCACCAGTCAGCGCTGGCGGATCGGAGCGGGGAGGGGGGAATCCAGCCCCTCCCCTGCCACGGCAGAGAGCCGTGACAGGATTGAGAGGTGAGCGGGCGCCGGGATCTGTTCGCTCACCTCCCGATCTACTGAGCCGACCTGTGACAGTCTCATTGTCACAGGTCGGCTAGAACTATGAGGTGAGTGGAAATCACTCACCTCATAGTTCTCCTTTAATGTGGGAAAAGGGAGATACAGAATCTCACGTCTCCAGAAATAGGAATCGTTCGTGCAACAAACTGTTAGCTGAGTGGATCTCCTGCTTGCACATACTTCACACTGGCACTGCTGCTGGCTTCGGTCAGGAGGTTCTGGTGGCTGTAAATAAGGCCACCCCGCTGCATGGACAGCTTCTCCAAATGGACTGTAACAGAGTCCTCTGCTGTGACTGGGGCTTAGACAGATGATGCATGCTCTTGTGCTCACTGCTAGTGGCCCGCACACCAGACGTAACAGGAGAGGACCCAGCACCTGGTGACAGCTCACTTCCCAGTCACTGCTGTCCCACCAGGGAGCAGGAAGCCGGTAGGAGCTGGCATTTATATTCCCCTGGGTGTGTCAAGGAGCTCAGGGGATGCTGGGAGACCAGAGGATTGTCTGGAGTTGAGGGACCTACACCTGAATATGAATAAAAGTGCACTCCACCACAAAGGTATCTATGGCTTCTGTGTCTGTAATTTAGACAATCTCAGTCATATATAAAGGTGTTTGTGCAGTCTGCATTTGTGAATTAGCAGGTCAGGAATTTTCAATGTCACATAAAGGTGTCTATGGAGTCTGAGTCTGTGATTGAGCAGGCCAACAAGCCAGGAATTCTCAATGTCAGATATATAGATGTCCGTGGAGTCTGAGTTTGTGAATTAGCAGGCCAGGAATTTTTAATGCCATATACAGTATAAAGGTGTCTATGGAGTCTGAGTCTATGATTTAGCAGGCTACGCATTCTCAATGTCATATAGAAAGGTGTCCATGGAGTCCGAGTGTGTGACTTTGCAGGCCACAAATTCTTCGTGTCTGTGGAGTCTGAGTTTGTGATTTAGCAAGCCAGGAATTTTCAATGTCATATATAAAGGTGTCTATGGAGTCTGAGTCTGTGATTTAGCAGGCCAATCATTCTCAAGGTCATATAGAAAGGTGTCAATGGAGAAGTGAACAATCTTGGCCAAAATAGCTGATTTGGAAAAATACTCTAATTCAGCTCACTTTCCAGTTCAGCTATGTTGTCCTAGATTGTTCACTTCTCCTGCCTTCTCCAATCTCTTCACCCTTTTGTGAATAACCCCCTGGGTGAAATGTTTAACTTGAGCACAGGGGTGAAACCTGAAATTACATTAGCATAAGCAATGATTCTTCTCATTGCTTGGACATGCTGTTTAACCCCTTGATGATACTTTGACACATTTATTGCGGTGTCAAGGAAGAGCGATTTTTTGCATGGTGCCACACATACAGTGTATATGGATTTTTTTTGTTCCGGGAGTGTGCTCGATTTTGCATCTCCAGCACAGAGACTGGCCTGTCACCGACTCCTCCTGGTCTCAGAGTAATTAATGGGAGCTGATAAAACTGGCTCCTGATCACGTGATTACTGTTACAGCCAATCATAGTGATCACTAGTTTAGAACCCTCCCCCATACTGTTTTGCCTCTTTGAGGAGAAAAAGATACAATGTATATTTTACTCCTCAAAGAGGGAAAACAGTACAGGGGAGGGTTCTAAACTAGTGATCACTGTGATTGGCTAACACAGTTATCATGCGATTACTACAGAAGAAGTCTGTAAAAAAGGGCAGTTAAAAAAAAAATAGAGGATAGAAGTGACATTTCAGGACTGATCAGTTGTTCCAGGGCAGATCGGTGCTCCTGCACATCCGATCTGCGATACTGACCTGCCCTGGAACAGCTGACAAAGCGTTGGAATTCTTCACCTATTGGCGGTCACACATTCCACCGCCAAAAAACTGTGCAGGATTACATTAAAACGTGTGACCAGTCACACATTTGATAGAACACCGCCATCAGGGGGTATGGCCGGTACCCATGTGAGGGGTCTGGGCAGCCTGGGGTGCCCCTTACATGGGTATCAGCTGTACCAGGGGCGGCATGGCAGAGGTGACAGGGGAGGGGGTGGAGGAGGCCAGGCCCCAGCAGCAGCAGGCAAGAAGAGTTGGGAGTAGGTACAGGGAAATGGACCCTGACGACCAGCCCACCTGGGACCCTGCAGAGCCCACCATAGAGAGTCTCAGGTGGGCTTTGCAGGATCTATGGTATGCTCTGCAGGGTCTCAGGTAAGTCCAGAGTTCAGCACGGTACTGCAACATTAGAGACCGCTGGGGAAGGGGGTTCGGGGGCCAGTGTGATCCGCTCCCGTGCCCCCCCCCCCGCCATCTTGGGAGGGGGGCCCAAGATAAAATCTTGCACCTGGGCCCTTTGGTTATTAGGTCCGCCACTGCTCAGAACTGTGACTGCCACACCCACCTGGCACAGTCAGTTATTCACTATTTATAAACATTTTATTTTTCATTTCACCCAGCAAAAGTTGCCGTATGTTCACTCACAGGCAATATTTTGCACTATGTATAAATCAATAAAAGTTTAAAGGATTAAACTTGGATCAAATGTTCTTTACTTTAATCTGACCACTGCTGTAGGTCGAATGTTACATAATCATATGTTCTTGGTGTTTTCATTAGGGTCGAATGCCGCCAAATCGAATGGCTGTGTTCCTTTTTGGTAAACGTTACTGTTGTAGGAATGCTGCCAAAGTGACTTCTTGATGCACATAAACGTTCTTTTAGGAGTTGTGTGAATGCCGACGTCTGATTATTGTTGTGTACTTTAGTCTGATAGCTGTTGGAAGGAGAATGGTGCAAATCAAATGTTTGCATTTTGTGGACATGTATTGACATGTATTACATTGACATGTATTGACATAATGCAAACATTCAGTTTTTGGCTTACCGCAGCTGTGTTACATTTTACATCATCATGTATTTTTTTTATTTGATCAAAACATGTTTACAAATTCCTAGAACTCGATAT